TGCTCTTAACCACTAATCCACCTCTCAAGCACCCAGAATATAATTCTTCAGAGAAAAAACTTGCAGAAGTCATCTGTTGTTCACTGTGACAGCTAATATTGATAGGTCCCTTGGCAGGCTCAGCTTGATAGAATCACCAAGGAGACAATCCTGGGTGTGTCTCTAAGGGAGTTTCTAGGGAGGGTTAGTTGAAATGAGGTGGGAAGACCCCTTCTGAATGTGGGTGGCGTCATTCCGTGTGCTGGGATCCCAGACTGGATAAAGACTGTAAGAGGACTGCTAGCATTCATACCTTTGGTGGCACTGCTTTCTGCCTCCTGGCTGCTAGTACAGTGTGACCAGCTGCCTCACACTGTCATGCCTTATACCCTCAAACCATAAACCCCAGCAAACGGTTCCTTCTGAATTACGTTGCTTTTGCCAGATATTTTGTCGAAGCGACAAGTAAAGTAATGAATTCACCTACGTAGGCTCATTCTTGGTGCTGGGGCTATAGCAAAGTGGCCACTGCCTTCCTAGTATAGTGGTATGTTGGAGCATGCTCCAACAAAGTCAGTTGGGGTACCTGGAAGCGGGCACGAGGTTGAGGAATGGCAGATTGAAATTGAAACAGAAAACACAAGATAGATCTGGGAGGTCTGTTTGTGAATATCACCCAGCCCCGAGTTTATTTCAGAACATGCTTTTATACAGATTAAAGGCAGAAGGCAGAACAAAGAGCAGTACTATCAGCTGACCACCTCCCTGCACGGTCCTTGGAAGGAAGCACAAGCAGGTTCATTATTTCTCACATGAACCCTGCAAGCAGCAAGTAGTTTCTATTTCTATCTCAATGTTCCCAGGGTTTGGCATCAGCAGTATTCTTTCTACTAGATAGGGTGTTCTTTTCTCATGGGCAAAATGCTCTTTCCCATGGGCTTAATCAGAACTTTCTCACAGCCCTCAGAGCTGCAGGCACAGCCGGTGAGCTTGAACTCAAATGACTTTTAAGTCATAATTGACTCCAAATGGAAACCGAGTCACATGCGGGCTCCCACAGAGGTGCCAAGAGGGAAGCCACAACATTATACAGCAATTAAATACAAAATGTGCTGTGCCATGAAAAAGGCAAAGCATCAGAAAGCCACCACAGCTAGAACATAAAGCCGATTGCAGCAACTAGGAGGACTTCTCTGAGAGTGGCATAACTTATAGTTACATGGTTATCCAGATAGATGATGGCAGTGGTAACCCAGATGAAGTGTAGCAGGATATAGTGATGGGATGAAGTGAGATGTGACCAAGACAAAAGGTGGGAGCAGACGCAATGAGGCTTCATGGAGGAATAAGGGCTGTAGATTGGGGACAGATCAACTTTTCAAAGTGTGGAACTATGAGATGGAGCTATTTTATTTTTAATTTGGATGCTCTTGTGTCCTGCCCTGCATTTACATAATGCATTATACCGTATCATGTAAAACTGTGTTGTTGGGTTTTTTTCCCAAGACTGATTTGTCCTAAGAGACTCCATTTTACAAGCAGCTTTGACTTGTTTTTGAAGATGAAGGGTGACTCTGCTCTTGAGTGAATATATATTATATATATATTCACATATGTATGTATATATATATATAATTATCACCATCTGCCTCACACCCTCAAGTAGCACAGAATAATAAATGACTTATTCATGGGCATAGACAGGGACCCATCCCATAAATTTATGAAGGTGAATTAGTACTATAAGAGCATATTATTATCCATATTAAAGTTCTATCAGGACTGTCAGGTTGGCTCAGCAGATAAGACACATGCCACCAGAGCTGGGCCGTGGTGGCGCACACCTTTAATCCCAGCACTTGGGAGGCAGAGGCAGGCAGATCTCTGTGAGTTCGAGGCCAGCCTGGTCTACAAGAGCTAGTTCCAGGACAGGCACCAAAGCTACAGAGAAACCCTGTCTCGAAAAACCAAAAAAAAAAAAAAAAAAAAGACACATGCCACCAAGCCTGACAACTTGTGTTTGATTCCCAGAACCCATTTGGTGGAAGAAAGCATGTTGCCTTCATCATGTCCTCTGACCTCCATAGCATACACACATGCAGAATAAAACACAGGAAAGCTGTGCCCTAGAACTACTTAGCTCACAAGCCATGGAAACACAGCAACTCTCTCACTTGGACCTCACAAAGAGCAGAGACCTATAACTGTGATGGTGAAGGCCCTACTCACCTGTCATCTGACCTTCCAGTGTGTGTCTGTGTCAAAAGCCTGACCACTCCCAGCTCTCCCAGGGGCTTCAGCTCTGCTTTGTCCCAGATGTTGACAAAGGCTGCTCAAATTGCCCTCTGCCTGCCTGTCTGCTTGTCTGGACATGTTGTCTGTCTGTGCACCCATTTGCTCTACAGACCAGTTCCTGCCCTTTCACCACTGCCTGTTGGACCCCACTCCACAGCTCAACTCTGACCCCGACTCTGTAACAGCAGCCACACCCCTTTCCAAAGCTTTCATTGGTTTGGTGTCTGACAGCCGTAGACTCCTTTGCATTTCTGTCAGTTTCCGATTTGGCCCCTCAGGCCTCATTAAAATTACTTAAAACTCCGTATTTCTTTAACCCTTTGTAGTCATTCTGTAACCTACATATAGATTGATTGATTTGCTGTGTAATGTATGTAATCTCAGAGTTAATATAGAACATATTTAAATGAAAGAACCTGGGTTGAGCACTATGGCTAATGCCTTTAATCTCAGCGCTTGGGAGGCAGAGGGAGGAAGATCTCTGTGAGGCCATCCTGGTCTATGTAGTTAGTTCCAGGCAAGCCTGGTTTACAGGGTGAGACCCTATCTCACCAACAAAAAGAAGTTTTAAGAAGAACAGGCCGGGCAGTGGTAGCTCATGCTTTTAATCCCAGCATTTGGGGGGCAGAGACAGGCAGATCTCTATGAATTCAAGGCCAAAATGGTCTACAGAGAGAGTTCCAGGACAGGCTCCAAGCCAAAGAAATCCTGCCTCGAAAAACCAAAACCAAAAGAGAGAGAGAGAGAGAGAGAGAGAGAGAAGAAGAAGAAGAAGAAGAAGAAGAAAAGGAAGAAAGGAAGAAGGAAAGAAAGAAAAGAAAGAAGAAAGGAAGGGAAGAAGAAAGGAAGGAAGGAAGGAAGGAAGGGAGAGAGAGAGAGAAAGGAAGGAAGGAAGGAAGGAAGGAAGGAAAAGAATGCTCCTCTCTTCTCTTCACCCTTGACAGCCCTCATCTCTGCTGTCATTCAGAGGAACCCCATCTGTATTATATCTTTTGGTAGTTATTCGAAAGTGGCCTACGCCCTTTCCACAAAGATAGTTTTAAATTCGTTGACCTGCTGAGAAACACATTTTCTTAGCTGGCTGGGCTAGGAAATAAATATGAGCTCCGCCTTCAGGCTTGGCCACGCCCCTTCTAAGTCGGGGGGGGGGGGGTTATATGTAGGAGGCGGGTCTTCCCGGGGGCGGGACTGTGGGGCGTGTCCTCCTAGGAGTTGTCCCACGCAAAGGCAGGCGTCCATGGGCGTGGCTGGAGGGGAAGAATTGGAGCCTGCTAAGTGCTCCGGGTCCCTGGTGTGTTGATTGAGCTTTAGTTTGCAAAAACAAAAGCTGCGGGAGAGACCGGAAGTTGCAGGTGGGTGAAGCCGGAAGCAGATCTAGTGGATTTGTTGCTAGCTGTGGCGGCACGCACTGAGCGGGAGTGAGTGCTGCGTTTACCACGTGTCCCTTACTTGGGCCCCTCTGGCTAGTGCTCAAAGCTTTGCAGGTTACCCCGAACGTTGTAATTTTACTATTATGAACAGTTGATTTCTATTAGGGTGGAGGGTAAACTAAGCAAGGCACTGAATGCTAGTCGCGTGCCCCCTCAGGAAGAGTACAAATTGCTTTACGTCTGTAGTGAGATTCTGGGCTTGGATCGCATTGTCAGGGAGGTAGCAAATTAATAATTTTGTTAAGGCCTTGTGAGGAAGGTGGGCCGGTGGTTTGGTTTTACCTTGCTCTCTGTTCATGGAGAAAAGCATGTTTGGCAGTGCAAAGTATCTTCCAGAACATGGAAGTGCCTTCTGAAAAAAAATTATGACATAAATAATGAAGATGAAAACAGAGCTGGGGGTTGCTCGGCAGTATAACTCAGACCTACCTACATAGAGCAAGTTCCTGCGTTCAGTCCCTTGCACAGCTAAAGCGTTTAATTATACGAATGTAGATGAGTATACTAACCACACTCCAGTACAGGCCCCATGGCCAGGGGTAGCTGTCCAACACAAGATGAACTCCGAGGGCTTTTTCTGTGGACTTTTTGTTCCTTTTTTTCTGTCATTTTTTTTTGTCTTATTGGTCTTTGATTTATTTTTATTTTAGTTTTCGTGGGTTTATTTATTTATTTTAAAGAAAACGAGAACATAAAAAGTTGGGTGGGTAGGGAGGTGATGAGGTCTGGGGAAAGGAGGAGGGAAAAGAACATGATCAAAACACATGAAAAAATAATGACTAAAAAAGAGTATAGAGAGACAGAGTGACAGGATTCTGGAGTCTTTTACTTCTTTGTGCTAATCTATTTTTCTCAATGAGATCTATTGTAAATTCAAAGATAATTTATTTGGCATTGTACATTACTTAATATATTTACTCCTTACTATATGAAAATTGTCCACGTATTTCACTTTAGTTGACATTTTCTAAAGCTTATCTTCACTGATTTCCTTTGAACACTCTACTATGGAGCTGTTCAAGGCTAAGGGTAAAGCTGAAAGGCAAGAAAAGCAACTGGTCTGGACCCTAAAATGAGTTTAGAATAATTCACAAATAACTAAAGAACAGAATTTAGTTGTTTTCTCATTGAATTAATTTTTCTTCTTTTGTCTCTGAAGCATGCTAACCCCATTTCTGGTGAAGAATTGCTTCCGGTTACTCTGCCACCACAGGGTCCCAGCAGCTGGCTTTAGGACCCCAGCAACACATGGGCTCATTTTACAGTCAATCTCCAACGATGTGTATCAAAATCTGGCTGTAGAAGACTGGATCCATGACCACATCCATCTAGAAGGCAAGCCAATTCTTTTCCTTTGGAGAAATTCTCCCTGTGTTGTCATCGGCAGGCACCAGAATCCATGGCAGGAATGTAACCTCCATCTGATGAGACAGGGAGGTATCAAACTGGCTCGGAGAAGGAGCGGAGGAGGAACAGTGTACCATGATATGGGTAATATCAATCTGACCTTCTTTACCACCAAGACCAAGTATGATAGAATGGAAAATCTGAAGATAATCGTGAGAGCTCTGAATGCTGTCCAACCCTGCCTGGACGTGCAGCCTACCAAAAAATTCGACCTGTTACTCGATGGACAGTTTAAAATCTCAGGAACGGCATCAAAGATTGGCCGAGTGGCCGCATATCACCATTGCACCCTGTTATGCAGTACCGACAGGACAGCGTTGTCGTCTTTGCTGAAGAGCCCATACCAAGGGATAAAGAGCAATGCCACACCTAGCATCCCTTCCGTAGTCAAAAACCTTCTGGAAAAAGATTCCGCGCTGACCTGTGAAGTTCTGATGAATGCGATTGCTGCGGAGTACGCTGCTCATCATCAAATAGATAATCACATTAACCTAATAAACCCGGCAGATGAGACCCAGTTTCCTGGAATAAGCAGCAAAGCTAAAGAGCTGCAAAGCTGGGAGTGGATATACGGCTGGACTCCGAAGTTTAGTGTGAATACCACGTTTCATGTGCCCCACGAACAGGCACATTTGCCAATTCAGGTGTCCATAGATGTAAAGAAGGGACGAATTGAAACCTGTGATATAAAAGCACCTGACCATTGGTTGCCACTGGAAATCAGTAACAAATTAAACTCAAGTTTTATTGGCAGCAAATTCTGCCCCATTGAAGCCACCCTGCTAACAGATATATTACTGAGGACATGTCCCGATGACCAGCACTTACACAGCAAATGGAATATCCTGTGTGAAAAAATCAGGGGAATAATGTGACCCTGAGTAACTTCCTTTATACTGATGGTTTCAGTGATATTTGGAATGTGGTATTTGAACCAGGCTGGCCTCAAACTCAGAGATCTGCCTGCTTCTGACCCCTGAGTTCTAGGATTAAAGATGTATACCCCCATGACCAGTTGTATCTGGGCTTGTTGTTGTTGTTGCTATTTTGTTTTTGACACAGGGTTTCTCTGTGTGACAGTCCTGGCTGACCTGGACTTCGCTTTGTAGACCAGGCTGGCCTCGAACTCACTGAGATCTGCTTGCCTCTGCCTCCCAAGTGCTGGGACTGAAGGCGTGTGCCACCACCGCCTGGCCACTGGCTGCTTCTTAACTCTACAACTATCTCATCGCCACACTTTTGCTCCCATAGTACTGTGTATTTATCAGGTGCCCACTATATACCAAGCACTGTGTTAGCTGTTGTTCACAGTATGTGAAATACACGTCCTCTGACCTCAGGAACAGACACGGTTAGTAACGAGGTGTTTGAACATATCAGATTAAAATTAAAGAATAGTTTTTCCATGGCGCACACATCCATTTAGCTTTTATGCCGCAATGCTTTACAGAAAACGTCCACAGCTCAATCTGCAGCTCTCACGGTAGTCTGCTGCCTCCCTGTAATAAATCGCCTGAAGTTTGCTCACCTCAAGTAATAGCAGTTTTTGATGCTCTTTCCTGAGAATTCCTCCTGTGTAATCACTTCGGAAAAGAACACAGATTGACGTTTAGAACAGTAAGCGCTACGTTTGGATTTGTCCTGAGGCCTGACCTGGACTCCCACACATGCTAGGTTCATACGTTACTCACCTGCACCCCTGGGCTGCACTCAACTCTTGTATTTAAAAGGAAAGATGGAGATGTGGGCTTGAGGAAAACTGAATTTCAGGACAGGAGTGGCCAACTGGGTCCAACGTTTCTGAAACACCAAATAGTACAAAGCTCCCAAAGTGCCCCTTAGAAGAGGACAGGGATTAAGGATGAGAAAAGAGCAGAGAAGTGGGTATAATCTTGTGATACACGATATGAAAATGTCACAGTGAAACCCATTCTGTTGTATAACTAATAGATGCTGGTAACTTAAGCATAACTATTAAAGTGCCCATTAGGAGTTAGAATTGATAGCACATGAGTCTCAGCACTCAGGGGCCGGAGCAGGAAAGCCATCATTCTGAGGGCAACTTTTGCTACAGAGTGAAAAGCCAGTCCTAAGAAGGGAGGTGCCCATGCAGTAAGGTGGTGTCAAGGTCGCTCCTGACCTTAGTGACTGCACTGCAGTGCTCTGGACAGCAGCCAAGAGTGAATGAAGTGAGTGGAACAGCCGGTGAGGAAATGCACACACAACTCCTCCAAGAAATTTTGTTCAAGAAAAAAAAAATAGGATGTGTGTGTCACTGGCTCCTCACTGTCTAGGCTCCAGTCTGGTGGAGATGGGTGGGGTGGTGTTGACTGAGTTGTCAGAACTGTGTAAAGATTTATTCCTAGGTAACAAATTCCTTCTCTGGCTGGAACCACACCTCAAGTCTTACCTTCTCCCAGAATTAGATTCCTGAGGAAATGCCGATTTATTGGGGACCATTATTTCAGCAGTCTGATAGTCACAGGGAGGGGTACAGCAGTCTCTCTTTAGAGCATCTCTGAGCCCTGCCAGGACGGTTCCATGAAAATCACCAAACAGGTCAGGTTGACTGTACAAAGCTCTGCAATGCTGGACATCTGGGCGCCAGAGAACGTCTACCACAGGCTATCAGTTATTTCTTTGTGTTTGGAGGCAGAGTATCACGTAGTCCTGGTTGGCCGCAAGCTCTCTGTAGAGCCTAGAATGACCCTGAATTCTAGATCCACCAGCCTCCACCTCCCAGGTTCTGGATTACAGCCGTGCCCCATAAAGCCTGGCTGACAACCATCTTAACTGCTGGAAACGGAAGCCAGGAGTGGCCCACACTAGGTCTGTACTGTGCTCTAGGCTCCATCTTCAGCCACATGTACTTTGGTTCTCATTCCTAGGCCCTCAGCCCATCTGTCTCGTATGTGCACTATAACCTGTGGTTTTCGTTTTGGAACTCTGAACTCCTAGGAGCAGGATTAACATCCAGTTGTTCCTCACAGCAGCTGTGCGGTATCTGCTGACCTGGTCGCCAACCACCAGCCGGAAGCTGGTAAAATCTTTCTGTTAACTCTGTGACTTAGAAAGAAACTCTGCCCATCTACTGAACAACATATTTACAGATCCAGAAATTTGTAGAAATGTAAACATTTACTGTTAAATTTATACATTATAAAAATACATTCAAAGTTTAAAAAAAAGGAAAAAGGAAGCTCAGTATTTGATCGCTGTGGTTTGAATGTGTCCCCCAAAGTTCGTGAGTTCAGTCTTGGTCCTTAGTATAGCAGTGTTGAGAGGGAGACCTCAGGGATGGCTGGCTCTGCCTCACAAGCTTTGTCATCTTGTTGCATTATTCTATGTGGGATGCAGAGAGAAGATCCTCCTCAGATGCCAAAGCCTAAACCTCTATTCTTTATACGTTATCCAGTGTATGGTATTTGGTCATAGCAACGGAAAACAGGCCGAAAAAAACCTAATGCAGAAACCTACAGTTAGGTTAGTACATGTCATAGTTTTTTTGTGTGCTTGTTATGGAAAATGTCCACTGTTGTTTCATGACATGGTCTCAGATCCAAATCACAATATCCAAGGGAAAAACGACCCTATGAAGAAAAGAAGAATACTGTTAAAAATGACACACACAAAAAGCCACGCGTGATGTTCTGTCTATAGTGCCAGCCACTCTGGAGGCTAAGATCCCAGGAGTTTAGCAAAACAAACAAGAAAACAGTGCTCACAGTTAATCATAAAATCATATCCTTGAAGGGTAGGGAGGAAGAGTGTATCTGGGGGAAAGGAGATGTAGGAGGAGGGATTGGGAGGAGAGGAGGGAAGGGAAACTTCAGTCTGGATGTAATATATAAGAAGAAAAATAAATAAATAAAGGAAATCATATCCTACCTGTGGTCTCTTAAAATAATCAAGTCCCCTTCCAATTTTAAACATCCATCCACTGTTGAACCTATTGAAATTAGTGTAAAGTATTATATTCAAGACATATGAGTTCATTTTTAAAGCCAGAGGTGGTTAAGAATCATCATGATTTCCCCTATGTTTGACTCAGCTAATAAGCTCATTCTATAAGGAAAACAAAAGGAGCATTAAACACCATCAGCTAATCCGATTGGCTGAGAAAGAACTTAACCATTAAAGGGAAAGATACTTTTGAATTTAGCTTGCTTAAGCTCTTCTCTGTTAACATGTGGTTTGCAAAGGACGTTCAGGAAGAATGTGGTGACATTTCAAAGGTGCCTATGATGGCTATTCCAGTTTTCAACTTGACTATATCTGGAATTAACTAAAATCCCAATGGCTGTGTACATCTCTGAGAGATTTTTTTTCTTTAAGTAAAATATTTGAAGAGGGAGGAGCTGGGCATGGTGGTACATGACTTTAATACCAACACTCAGGAGGCAGAGGCAGGCATATCACTGTGAGTTCTAGGACAGCCAGGGATATTACATAGAGAAACCCTGACCCGAACAAACAAACAAACAAAAAGAAAAAACAAAAAAGAACTAGTGAAACAACAACATTAAAACTATTTGAAGTGAGAAGATCCAGATCTTTTGATGTGGGAAGGTCCTCCTTTAATCTGGGTCACACCTTCTTTGGGCAACCTTTATGAAGGTCATGGAAGGAAGCTTGCTTTCTTTGCCTGCTTGCTCTCATTGGCACGTCCATTCCTTCACTGGCATTAGAGCCTACTTCTTCAGGATTCTGGTGTACACTGAAGACCAGCTGAGACTTCCAGCCTCAGAGACTGAACAACTACTGGGTTCTCAGACCTTCCATTGGTAGACAGCCATTGTTGGACTAGCTAAACCACAGCCTGTGAACTGTTCTAAAAAATTCCCTTTGTGTGTGTGTGTGTGTGTGTGTGTGTATTCATTCTTTAATTTCTGTTCCACGAAGAACACTGCATAACACAGAGCCACTATGCAGAGATGGAGATGGCCAGCCCCTGACCTCTGCTTCAACAACAGCAGCACTGCCATCTATTTTGCATATTTAGCATCTGATTAACTCTGCATTAAAAACAAGAGCCTTTTTGCTGTATCATATGAAAGCCACTATGCTAAAGGAAAGGAAGGGTTCTTTTTTTTTTTTTTTTTTTTTTTTTTTTTTTTGGTTTTTCTAGACAGGGTTTCTCTGTGGCTTTGGAGCCTGTCCTGGAACTAGCTCTGTAGACCAGGCTGGTCTCGAACTCACAGAGATCCGCCTGCCTCTGCCTGGAAGGAAGGGTTCTTAGTGTGATCCCTAAGAAGCTGTATGTCCATTTCTTGATTAATACCACACTACTAGAACATTCCACTGAAGCCACACAAGGTAAATAGTAATTTCAGTAGGAAATGGATTATCTCCCTACCATAACACTGGCTATGATCTGCACAAAAGAGCTCCTTCCCACATGACACAGAACCATACATGTTATTTGATTAGGAATGAACTAAACTCACTATAGAGTGAGGTAAGCCAAGATTTCTTGTCCAAAGTGCAAAGTTACTTAAGTTTGAGCTTGATTTGAAGCTTTAATATTTAAATATGTGTATATAATTATATTACACTGGAATTCTTAAAATGTGTCCCAACTATGAAAAAATAAAATAGACACCTGATTTCTCGGTCGTGTATAGATGAAGAATAGTTTACTTCCAAGAGCACGCCATGACTCCTGAGGGATTGCTTTATTTCTTCCAGGCCACTACTTTGCTGCGCATTCCCAAACCCCTATTGAATGCATAAAACAGAATTTACTTCCTCGGTTATTAATAACTTAAATTATCCATGAGCTACACAATCAATACCATAGAGAGATTAAACTGAAAAGATTCTATATTGATTTCAACATTACCGTCTCAGGGAAGCAACCAAAGAATGGGTAATTCTTTTCTTTTTTACGTATTGTTTTTATACAAACAATTGCTTTCCTCATGTGAATACCATACGACTCCTTCCTGCGTCAGTCTCCCTGCTGATAGATGCACGGGCATGTGGCACCTGCCCAGCATCCTTTAATGTATTTTAGTGATGATAATTCAGTCATCCATGTGAGACTGCCTACTTCTTAGACTAATCTTAGAAATTAGAATTACTTGGATGCCCTTGTACTTAAAACACAGTCAAAAGAGACACAGCGACAATCCAACCCCAGATACATACAGCAAGGGGCAGAACTGTCACTAGTACAGACTGCATCATCACTGATGCCCGAGACTAAACTGACAAACTACTCAAACCCAACCAAATGGCCGAATACAATGTCAACACTCTCAAATCAATAGCCTTTTTGGGAAGATATGCTATGCTTGGTATTACAAGGTGAGTTATTGCCAAGGAACTATATCTAGCTAAAGTACTGGACCAGGTCACTTATGATTGAACGCGGTAAGTCAAGAAAAGATGAGGTTTCTCAGATACCTACTTCATCCGTAGCGGTGAGAAGGTGAATAGTTCTTACTTTGCATGGCTTCTTAATCAGCATCTCACAAAACCGAAGAAAGTTATACAGCTGAAAGACATCAGGATGGGTTAGTACTAGCTCACACAGTTTTTCCTCAGCAAGATCCTGTCCACAGATGCTTCCATCCATCAATGTATTTAGTTTTAAAAATGTATTTATTTATTATGTATATGGTGTTCAGCCTGCATGTATGCCTGCAGGCCAGAAGAGGGCACTAGATCTCATTACAGGTGGTTGTGAGCCACTATGTGGGTGCTGGCAATTGAACTTAGGGCCTCTGAAGAGCAGCCAATGCGGTTAACCTCTTAGTCATCTCTC